TCACACATTACGAGAGATCTCACAGTACAGGGACAAATCGTTCATTGAGGGCTAAATTTTCACGAGTAAAATCTATATCGTGTGTTTATATCTATATCGTGTGTTTATATCTATATCGTGTGTTTATATCTATATCGTGTGTTTATATCTATATCGTGTGTTTATATCTATATCGTGTGTTTATATCTATATCGTGTGTTTATATCTATATCGTGTGTTTATATCTATATCATATGTAAATTCATTAATTATTCGTTGGTTTTTAACTTTGACCCTTTCGCCGATATGTGAAATAAAATAATTTAAATTTAATGCATTTGAACATGAAGAATAACAATGGAACTGATTGTTTCTCTGCAATGTTCGTAAACCACTGTGAAATTGTTTAAAACATTGATATAGTGAAATTAAGCGGTTTTATAGTATACAAGGAAGAATTTGATACATCAGAAAAAAACTGTCAACAAACAATCTGTTATGTGATTGGTTACACTGTTAGGTGTTAGGGTTGGGTAGCCAATCAGGTACAATCTTGTAAGTAGCTTTGCATTGACTCTGATTGGTCTGACTGTTAGGTGTTAGGGTTGGGTAGCCAATCAGAAACAATCTTGTAAGTAGCTTTGCATTGACTCTGATTGGTCTGACTGTTAGGTGTTAGGGTTGAGTAGCCAATCAGAAACAATCTTGTAAGTAGCTTTGCACTGACTGGTAACTCAGGATTCACTGGGATTTGTTTCTGTTTAGAATTAAGTAACTTGAGAAAATGGCATATCCATGTGCAAATAATTTTTGTTCCATTAAATATTTCACAATAAAGTGTTTGAAATAATTGTAGAGTGCACTTTTAATGTTGATCATTGTCTCAATTTACATATTGTCTCAATTTACATATTATCTCTGTTCGCATAATGTCTCAATTTTCATATTGTAGCAATTTGCATATTGTCTCAATTTGCATATTGTATCAATTTTCATATTGTATCAATTTTCATATTGTCTCAATTTTCATATCATCTCAATTTGCATATTGTCTCAATTTTCATATTGTATCAATTTTCATATCATCTCAATTTGCATATTGTATCAATTTTCATATTGTCTCAATTTTCATATCATCTCAATTTGCATATTAATTCTTTCATTTAATAGGAGGATGCAATGATGCGGGATGTGATAGAAGTGATACGAGCGGATGAGGCTCATCACCGCGTAGTCAACCATACGCTGGGATCTCTGGATAAGGATGCCAAAAATCCATACGGCCCTGGACAGTAAACCAATATCCACCCAACCAACATCCTTGTGTGGTCAGAGGAGTAAATATTTGTTTTTAGTG